ACAATTTTAACTTAGAATAAAGAATTATATTCTTGAAGTTTGTTTATAATTTTTCATCCTTACCTGAGGACATTTTTTCCATTGCTTTGGGAGAGAAACATCTCTGTTTCTCATTCGTTACTTCTCGTTCGCACCCAGACCAGGGATCAGCACCCAGACCGGGGATCGAACCCACAACCTATGTATGTTCCCTGACAGGGAATTAAACCCACAACCTTTTGGTTATGGTACAACATTCCAGCTAACTGAGCCACGCCAGCCAGGGCTTAATTTTTAATTTTAAAATATTTCTCAATTACAGTTTACATTCCCTATTATATTAGTTTCAGGTGTACAGCATGGTGGTTAGGCGTCTATATAACTTACAAAGTGATGCCCCCATAAGTCTAGTAACCACCTGGCCCCGTACAGAGTTACTACAATATCACTGACTATATTCCCCAGGGTGTACTTTACATCCCCATATCTGTCCTGTAACTGCCAATTTGTACTTCTTAATTCTGTCACCTTTTTCACCCAGCCCCCCGCACTCCCCTCCCAGCTGGCCATCGTTTGTTCCCTGTATCTATGAGCCTGTTTCTGTTTTGTTTATTTATTTACATTCCACAATAAGTGAAATCATATGGTGTGGCTGACCCCTTAGGATCCCTTAAGTTTGTTACCTTTCCCTTAAGGAAGGACTTTGGGGACAGAAATGTGGTTCTGTGCCAATCAGTATTCAACTCTTAACAGACTGGAGCTTTTCTCCTCTCCTTGTCAACACTTTCTTTTTATCTATTCTCTGCGTGTCCCTCTAGGCATCAGTCCCTGCGCCTGGTCCCTGCTACCCGTCCAACAACCCAACTGTAGAACCTGCCCGTGCTCCCATATTTAGAGAAATCTGTTAGCCGCCTGTGCTCCACGGCAGCTCTTTCGGTCCCTAGGCCTGTGCGCAGGGCCCGGAGCGCAGCAGGTGCTCAGTGCATGGCGAACGAATACACTTCTCCAGAGCACGCCCTTGCAGCCTCCGTCTTTCACCATTCCGTCTGACCCGCTTTTTGAGCCTGCCCTGCCTGTCTCCCCAGATCGCTCTCTCTGGGGTCAGAGGCTGCCGAAGATCTGGCTGAGTCCTCCTCACCTTTCCCCTCGTCTCAGCACATGAACTCTGTTCCCTCTTCCCCTCTCACGGCTGCATGGCCCTGTGTTCTCCTTGTCTCCTCCTATGTTATTTAGTTGTTTAGGAATCAGAATCCTGTTTTGTTTTGTTTTTCCCTTTGAATCGGCCCTCTTTTCCTTCCCTTTTCTTCTGCCTCCTGAATAGAGCATGTGCTTTACCAAGGTTCTCTTCTAGGCTTTATTCCCTTTGTGACTTCATGTATGCCAGTGGCTTCAACAATGACATCTGCGGAGTGATCCCCGAGTTTACATGGTCAATCGCTGCCTCACTCCTGAACTCCGGTTCCATGTTTTGGTATCAACTGAAACTCTGCATATAGATTTCTAATAAAATTAAAAATAATTTATTCTACCTTTCCAAAACAGCTCATTCTCTGACTCCTCGAACAAATGCATTTTCTTGATGTCACTGTTTCTGCTGTCCTCCCACTGACCCCCCAACTGCTAAATCTCAAAGTGTTGGCGTCATCGCTGAGTCCTTCCTTGGCTCAGCCACCTGACTTTACTGTCCTGTGTAACACTGTCCTTCCCTCATTCAAGCTGTGGTTACCTCCCTCCTGGTGTTTTCACCCCTCCTCTCTCCCCCTTCTCTCCCGACTCCGTCACCGAACACCCACCTCCTACTGCCCGGACCCACCACGTGCTACATGCCCTGGCTCTTCTTAAGTCATTTCTCTGATCCTGGCGCCACCTCCACAGACAGTCATGGCCTCTTCATTGGTCACTTGATCAAGATCATGGAGCTAATACTTCAGCATTTATCATGCAAGAGGTCTGTGAGGCTGGAGTTATTACGTCTGTCTTATTAAAGAGGAAATTCAGGCTCAGAGAGGTAAAGTGACATATATATGGTCTCATAAAAAGTTGGTGGGAACCCTGGGATTTTAATACCACTTTCTGGCTTTAATGCAGGACAGGGCTGAAGTTTAAATTCCTCAGCCAGGTGTCTAGGACCTGTGCCATGTGGGCCTCCGCTCCCCTGCAAGGTCCTCATCCCAGGGCCAGTGACTTCGAAACCTTTTTCAGCTCTGGCTGAGGCCCTTCTCCCCCGTGTCCCTCCACTGATTCCCTGCTCTGACCTCCGATTGCACTGTTCTTCAGGTGGGGCACCGAACCCTCTCTGACTCTCTGTCTGGCTAAATTCCATATCCCTCCACCTAAACTCAGCACAAAGAACTTCTCTTCTTATTTTTTTCTCTGTCCTTTCAAAGCAATTTCTCCATTCTTTGAATCCTCACTGAACTTAAAATCTCAGGTGGCTATAAGGTAGCCTTCCAGCTGGTTAGTTCATCTTTTTAAGCATTCCCACATCACCTTCAACACCACCCTCCCCACATGTGTTACTTTTATGATTAATTAATTAATTGTTCAACGCCTGCCTCCTCCAACTGGAATGTAAGGTCCCTGAGGGCAGGAAGTGGTTGGTGTTGCTCACCTGTTCACACGCATCGTCCTCCATGCCTGGCGCAGAGTAGACACACAATAACGTTTATCAAATAAGCAACCTAATGCCTCGCTTTTTCTCTCACAGACTCTAGGTGACTTGCAGGAAGTGGCCATGTCTGTTTTATCCACTGTCCCCTGCAGCATCTAGCCCTGCATTGTGCTCAGAGTTAGAAACTCCCAAGTCTTTGTGGATGAACTAAACGGAGGCCTTACTAGTCTTCCTTTGTGTTGGTATGAAGCCGGGCATATCAGGGCTTCCCCACCTCCCCTAAGGTTTTAGAGTCTTACGAGGAACCCCTTGAGGCCTCTCCAGTCTCTCTGCTTTCAGGCCCCAGGTAAGAGCTCCTGAAGGGGAGGAGTGGTCAGAAGAGAGATTATCGTCAATGCCACTCTGTCAAGAGCCCTTTTTTTTCTCATGGCTAAATCTGACATTTTGTGCCTAATTCTCTCTCTTCTTGTCCCAAAACATGATTTTTTTTTAACTTCACCCTAGTCTCAGCGCCCGCCTCCTTTCAAAACGTCCAGACTCTGTTGGGTCCTCTCCCTCAGTTCTCTTCTCCACTCTTAGTTTCTAAGCACCCTGCTCTGTTCACAGGCAGCGCTGGGATCTCTCTCCCTCACGCTCTAGAGCAATGCCTTCTGCCCCGCCTGCGCCTTGTGGGCATCTCTGGAAACGGTTGCGCGAGAGGTGTGTGCCGCGCTGTACTGAGAGGACCCGTGGGGTCCCTGGCTTCCCCCATTGTCCCCCACCCCGCCACTCTGCTAGTCTCCTCTCAGGACCCCTCCCTCCTGCTGTCAAAAATGTTGGTAGAGCATAACTTAGGTGAAGGTTGAGAGATGGACACAGTGAAAAATATTATGAGTTGCCCCGAGAGAGTGTGTTGAAGGGAGTTTTATGAGGTGTGACAGTTTTCTAAAGTTAATGAGCCATTTGGCATGTCTCCAAACAAAACCCTAGCTGGCCAGGGCTTGTCCCCAGGAGGCACATTCGGGAATGATCGTCCCTTCATCCCTGGGTATCCATCCCTTCCCTTGTTCTCCAGTTGTGAAATAGCGTGAGGTCAGCTTCCTCCTGAAGGATATGTTTACGCCTTTTATAGTGAAGACTATGATTCAGCCCCCCCACCCCCCAGCCGGTGCCTTATTTAGGACTTCAGAATTCCGCAGAAAGGCTCCACTGCACTGAGCAGAGTGGAAAGCACCAACATAATGAACAAATCTGACTCCTGGCCGCCTGCTTCTTTAGCATATTCTCAGGCAACTGTGGGAAGTAGGTCAACAATACCTGGGACAGAAGACGCTCTAACTGGAAACCTTCTTCTACTTAATGTAAGGAGACAAGACAATCCAGTATGGATTTCCAACCTAGAAGCATGGCCTAGTCTGTGTTCCAGTGTGTGTCCCTTACATGCACCCACTACCCCTGGCTGGTCTGAGGCCCTCAGGGCCCAGGGATCTTGACCAGAGCCAGTTGGACCAGGATGGCCCTGGGTAGTCCTGCTCTGGGGCCTTTAGATTTAGCTGCAGCTCTTGGCCTCTCCCAGGTATGCTCTGCCTTCCCCAGGTTTCAGGGAGCATGACCTGTGTGGCCACATCTCAGGAGCAGGGCACTGGAATGTAACACAACCCTTGTGACCAATTGTAAACAAGGGTTATTTAAGTAGCTTCACCAAGTATCACACTACCAGTAGTATTATCTTCTCACAAGCGGGTGTGAATCTCTGAGCAGCCATATAAGTAAACAATAGGAGAGTGATGATAGCAGTTAACCTCTCCTGAACTCCTAGTGCGTGGCAGGCACTAGGGGAAGCGCCTGGTGTACCTAGCCTGCCTACCCTCACGGCAGCCCTGTGTGGCAGGTATTAGTGTCCCCACATTGCAGGGGAGGAAACTGGGGCTTAGGGAGGTTAAGTAATTTGTCCAAGTCACATAACTAGTAAAATGGCAGGGCTAAGATTTAACTCTAAAATGGATGCTTTGTACCCAGCCACGAAGCCTGTGAAAATACTGGGAACGCCAGACCCTGGAGCTGCTGTTGGTTCTGGTCACGGGGAGATGCTCGGACTCGAGGAGTCCAGCTCTCTGATGTTAGCGCTGCGACCCGAAAGGCTGATGCACATAACGCACGCTTTCCTCCCACCTTGCCTTCTTCATTTATTAAATGGGCACGTTCAGAAACCGTCTTCATCATATTTTCAAACAAACGTTACTGCAGCCGCCACCCAACTGTCACTATTTCCACTGCTGCCTAGAAACGCTGCTTGTTCTTCGGCTACTGGGAAGGGCTTTGCCTCATTGAATTATTTCTTCCCCCAAAGACCCTAAATACTTTAATGATGAGAAACATAATAATCCCTGCTTAAAGATTTTGTTCAACCTGAATTTTGCTTTGCTTGCAGAGAACAGCAAATCTGTTCATTGGAAGCTGGGAGCCGACAAGGAGGTCTGGGTCTGGGTGATGGGCGAACACCACCTCGACAAGCCCTACGATGTCCTCTGTAATGAGATTCTTGCTGAGCGGGCCCTGAAAGCACAGCAGGAAGTGGAAGAGCTCAGGTAGGAGATCTGCAGACGGGGGATGGTGCCAAGGTGCCTCCTGCTTGCAGTATCTGGTGGGAGAGTCGGTGCGATTTCAGGGTCACTAACTTAGATCTCTCTGGGAAGTCTCTTTAGACTTCTGATAATCCCCCTCTTTCCCATGGTGCTAGCCAGTCGGCTGCTTCATTTTCCCACTTGTCATTCCTGTTTTGATCTGGAGGTGGTTTTTCCAATGATCCCTGGCTTCGCTAGAAGCATATTAGAGCAATGCAGGCTGGTACAGCTGGACGTCGGTAATGTAAGTGACAGTTCAAGCTCCAGGCCTCCGAAGAAGATTGCTCAGACGTGGGCAGCTGAGTGAGCAGGCGCGCAAAGGGCTCACACTGCACTAGGCCCTGGGCATTCAAAAATGAACAAGGAGCTTCCATTCTGGAAGGACAAACAGGCAGCCACCATCAGCCAAAACAGACTGGGATATGTGCTACAATTATGTTAAAAACAGAGCATTAACTGAGCCTGTCATCCTGACCTACCAAAGATGTGAAATCGGAATTGAACCTGGAAAGCTAAGTAGTATTTTCTAGCTACAGAAGGTCAGGAAGTTGCAGGCAGAGGGCATAATCAAGACCTCTAGACTTGATATTTTGTTCTTTGGGTAACACTGAGTTCTTCCAAGTGTTCGGAGTACACGTGGACACATAGTAGGGGATGGGGGGCCGCGCTCTAACGTACTCAAAGGCCTCATTTAGGAGTTCGGACCTCATTCTGTGGACCCCGAAGAGGCTTTTGAATAAGGAAGTGACATAATCAGCTGGGGATGTAGGAAGGCGACTTGGGTGGTAGCAAATGAGAGAGATGACAGATCCCTACTGCTTGGTGCCCAAGGTGGCCTCTGTGGAGCCTGCTGTCCCTTGAGCGCTGACAGTCCTGTCTGAGCTGGTAAACCAGATCCAGGCACATGGACTTCTACCCAGATCCCAGGGGCTGATGATGCTGCCCACCACCTTCTGTAACTGGAAACTATAAATGGGCACACAGAGAGAAAGGCACCATTTGCTGCTGATCCTAGGGCGGCGGTGCACCCCAGCAGTTTAACTTCTGAACCGAACCAGCAGTCGAGCAGACCTGAGGTCAAACCCTGGCTGTCCATTATGGGGCCTTGGATAAAATATGTAGTTATTTTGAGCCTCTTGTAAAAAGGAAAGGTAACAGTGCCATTCTCACAGGGTTGTTATGAGGATTAAGTTAATGTCTTGAAAATACCAAGCAAAGAGCTCAGCATATTATAAGCACTCAGTAAATGGCATCTATTACTGTTTTTCACATAATTTGCACGTAGACAGCTGCTTTGGAAAAGCTGTCCCTATTGAAGAATGTTTTTGATAATCCCACATTTGTTTCTCTTCAGCAAAGCTCAGTCCAAAGAATTCACCAATAGCTTGACCACTAAATCCCATTACCGTGATCTGCCAACACCAGATACCTGGGAGTCCCAGAACATCTGTAAGAAAGTGGCAGAAGGGGAGGAACCGGCGCCAGACTCTAGACCAGCACCACCCCTTAAAGAAGAGAAAACTCCAGTGAGTCTTTCCTGTCTGTAAAAGTGCAGAATTTCATCACTGTGGGAGACAAAGGTATTGGGACTGAGGCGAATGTCCCTGGGTATCAGGATCTTTACTTGAAGGCCCTGCTATTCATTTGGGGGGATTTAGTTCACCTGTTACTTCCCCAAAAAGATAAAGTACTCCTTCTTTATGGGATGGAAAGTATGAGGAAAAAAAGAACCCTAGGAATAAAATTTTGCATTAGAAGGCATTTCCAGGGTTCATTTTTCCCTGTTCTATATGTTCTATAAGAGGGGTCGGCAGCTTTTTCAGTGAAGGGCCGCATAGTAAACACTTGAGACTTTGTGGGCCACGTGATCTCGGTTAGACCTGAATGTGCATGGCTATGTTCCAAAAAACCTTTACCAAGACAGGCAGAGGGCTGGATTCGGTCTGCAGGCTGTGGTTCGCGGACCCCCGTCCTGTCAGGCTGGCCTATCGGCGATCTAGATTTTGTTCTATTGAGTGGTCCCCTTTTGGTTGAGGACAAATATCTGTGCCTCTTTGGCTTCAGAGATTCTGCCTGTGATTGTGGGAACAGCTCTTCTTCACCGCAGCAGCATTTTCTACTCAGAGCTGGTAGGAATTCTCTCATGCTTCAGATAGTTTAAAACACTCAAACATAATTTGCTACTTGGATTATAGTTTGGAAGAACAATTATACTATATTATGAAGTACCTGCTTCCGTTGGAATTTCATTACACTGAGAATTAACCGAGGATTCGCAGTTGTTTGACTTCCATTCAGATCTTCAGCTCTACGACATGGGCTGCGTGTCCTCTTGACCTCTTTGAGGCTGACAAAAAGGGATACAGTTACTTGTCTTGCCTACTTCACTGGCCTGCTACATGGCAAAGCACACTGCTGAGTGTCTCATTTAATTCTCACAACAACATCACGACCTAGGATCTGTTTGCATTTGTCCGTCTTACAGGTGAGGAAGCTATGGGGAGATGTGGTTGCTCCATCTTGCCCAAGGTCTTAGACTTGATAGAAGATTGAACCAGGATTCAAACCTAGGTCTGCAGGAGGGGCCCTCCCTAGGCCACTCCAGAACTACTGTACTCGATTGCCTTGTTAATATGAGGAATGTGAAGGAGCTTTATAAAGGGCTAAAAGTATGAGGCTCAAAACATTCAGGGCTACACAATTCTAAAATCTGGTTTGGCCCCGGGGCCAGCCCTGGGTACTTTCCTCACGTCTGCAATGGAGCCCCAGGTTTTCTTCCCTAGGCCTGCTTTGCACGCAACACGTTTAATACCAAACTCTCTCGAAACAGCTAGCCCCTCCCCCCACTTCGCATCCCTAACACTAAGAACAACAGCAACAACAAAACACCTCCTTCAAGAGCATTAAGCATGCAGGCTCTCTCTGTGCCTGCATTACAGTACTTCCCTAGATAACAAATTTCAAAAGTAAGATGAAAGATTAAAATAAAAATTAGATACCATGGTTATTCTTCTTTTCCTAGATCATAAATATTACAGGGAGAGTGGCACCCTTCCATTCCCTAGATGTCTGCTAACCTGTCATATAGGAATTGACTGGGGCTGGGAGTAAGGGAACAGGTAGCTACAGGCATGTGGACAAAACAGGTAGAAGTTTTTTCTATTCTTGTGTTTCATCTTTCTCTGCATCAGAGAAAATGCTTTCAGGATCTTAGAAAGAAAAACAGGTAGACGGTGAGGAGAAGGCCCAACATCAATTGATTTACTCCTTTATTTAAAAAGGACCTATTATGTGCAAGGCATTAAGATGACAACGTAGGAGTGAAAACAGGCACTGCTGCCATGTACTTTATGGTTGAGGAAGGGGGCAGAGACTTCATGGGACACATCGTTTCAAACGGTAGTGAGAGCTCCAAGGGAAAGGAGCTGCTTCCACGCGCCCCCCTCACACTAGAACTGGAGCCGTACCGGGGATTGCAGGATGGCTTTGCAGAGGACATGCAGCAGGAGATGGCGACACAGGACGCCTGCCGCTGGCAGTTCTCGCAAAGGGCCAGTGTGGGCCATGGCTCTGCAGCTGGAGGGAGCGGGGCTGGGGGGGCTTTGGAGACACCGAAGAAGGCCGCGCGGCTGGAGTGTGGGTGGGGAGGAGGAGAGCTTATGATTCCGCAGGAGGGTGGGGTGCGGCAGGGCCAGGCAGGACGGGGGCTTAGGGACAACCTAAGTGTTTTGACCCTTTTTTCAAGAACAGTAAGAAATTGTCAGTGATTTGGGGGCAGCGGATTGACCTGATCAGATTTACGTTTTGAAAGGAACTGATCATTTGTGGATCAGAGTGGGTGGGAGGAGCGAGGTTTGCAGCACAACCCAAGTTTCTAGGCTTGCCCGGGAGAACTGGGGTGTCATGAGCATAAATAGGAGCTGCTGGAGAGGAGCTGCTTTTAAAGGAGAACATGAGTCTGGTTGAGAGACAGCAAGGGTTTCTCATACTGCTCGACATGGTAGTGGTGGCTATAAATTGATTTTATGCATAGCAGTAAAATATATACAATTTGACTTAGAGTTCACAAAGCCTTTGATTTCATACTTTTATTTCATACTTTCATTTCATTTCATAATATTCCTGTGAAGTAGGCCATGCGAGTATTATTTCTTTTGTACAGATAAGGAAAGTAATGCTCAGAGATTAAATGATTTGCCTCCAAATAACAGAAAGCCCTCATTTTTATCTACCTACTCTAATTCACTCTCATCATAACTTCGATGTAGCTAAAACAGGGTTTGTCATCTGCTTCTATAGGTGAGAGCTCTGGTGAGAAAGGAAGACTAGAACTTTGGGAGCCATCTGGTGTGTGTTTCCAAAATGCAGTTCAGGTTTGCACAGTAAAGATTCCCGGGTTCCAGTCATAGTTTAACAATAATTCTAGAAGGATATTGTCATGTCTTTAAAATTTAATTGCCTATATCAGGCCTAAAATTTATTATAAAAAGAAAAATGACCAAGAAGATTTTATTTATTTTAGTGATCCTGATGCTTATCTGAATAACCATGGAAAGATTTAAAGAGCAGTCCATCTTCCAGGATATTAGAAACAGCAAAGAAAATCAGCTATAGACTTCCTGTGTAAAATGGTCTTGTTAGATTTGCAATACTTTTCCACATGACAGATTGTCACCAGAAAATGAGCCCCAGTTAACTTCAACCCAAATATTGACCAGCACTATAGAAATTCTTGTGCCAGAGTCAGTTACTTATAGGAGGTAGTGCTTCTAGTTAATAAGGACCCCTTATATTTGTACTGAGAAATAAGAGAAGACTGGATTTCTGCATTTGTTTCAGCCAATGTCCCCCAGCAAGGTTTGGGACTGTACTTTATAATCAATTACTATAAATACTGTAAACAGCCCCATGTTAGTTCAAGTCTGGTTTTTCCCTCAGTATAAAAAACATATTTTCAGAGCTTTTTGGATTTCAGGATTGTTAGTAAGGGGTCGTGGACCCGTAGTAGGTTTTTGAGTCATGGTAATATAATAAGAGCAAGTATGGTTAAATGTAGTCAGAAGAATCGGGTTTTCATTCTGACTCTGTCTCTGTAAGATTTCGTTTTCTATGTCTATAAAATGAGGGACTTTTAAACAGTTTGTAGCCACGGAGCATGAGGGCCTTACTTTCCACACCCGCGCCCAAGGCAGACATCGCTAATCGACTGCGGCACTCCTGCCTGGGCAGCCAGGCTTGGTCGTAGAAGTCAGTTATAGAGATGGAATCTGTTTTCTCACGAGTCCTCATAAGTTTCCCTCTAGCTCCAAACTCTCATGACTCTACACAACACTCATGCCTGCATGACCCGAAGTAAAATATTTTCTCATATCACTTTGGCTGTTAAGGAGAGTTTTTACACAGTTTCAATGGATGAGCCATACCATAATGTCTGGACTTTTCATATTCAAGCAGAAGTTAGGGAAGGGTGCGAGGTCCATGCCCGGTAGTACAGGGCCAGAGTGAACCCAATCTTATTCCCGGATATAAAGCACAAATTATGTCTTCCTCAGTCAGTTAGCAGTCTTACCCTGAGCTTTTCATCACAGCCTTCCACCCCCGGACTCAAAACTGAAACTCTTGGTCCACCTGGGACAAAGCTGATCTTCACACATTAAAAATCAGAGAGTTGTACCTTTCCCTCCATGGAACGAGAACACTAAGAAGCCCAAACTATAGGTTTGCTTTGGATTATTTTATACCATGACTCATTTTATACAGGTATCTTCATTAGCAGATGGCTTCATTCAGGGAGATCTCTTCTGGAGCAATTAAAGATCTGCCCCAATTCTGAAGGTGAAGAATTTCTGCTTCACCCTCAGAGCCACAAGAAGCAAATCTGGGGCTTTTGAGAGGAGTTAGTTTGACTCATGCTTTAGGGTTTAGAAAACATCGGGTCCAGTCTCAGAGCATCTTTCTACACACGATTATCTTTACCAAAAAAAAAAAAAAAAATCTTAAGAACATAATTCTGTTTATTTAAAATTTTTATCTTGACAAAGAGCCAACAGTAAGACCACCTGTGTAAGAACCAGAGGCACAGGAGCCAGCCCGCTGACCCAGCAATTCACCTCTTGTCTGGGAGTGGGAGTTCCAGGCCGGAGAGGCAGCTTTGTGGCTTGCGGCCGTGTGTGGGAAGGTATTCGTTCCCTTTATAAAACAGGGACGAAGTTAGCAGCACTGTATCTTTACAAAGGAATCTGAGACAGTGCACAAAATTAAGGATGCCTGTCCAATATGGGCTGATGAAAGCAGCGAGGATTGTCCCCTGCAGTCCTTCAATTCTAAGATGCTGCTCTTACTATCATGAGTCCAGCATTGGTCCAATTTTTCAGAGGAAGAGTTGGCGGCAATGGGACACTGAGTGGTTTGTGCAAGGTGAGGAGGAGGCTGAAATAATGCCTAGAATAGAGCTAAGTCTGTGGCTTTTATTTTGAAAAGCTGTTGCCCTCTACAAAATACCTGCCCTGTCCTTATTTTTCAGCAG